AGAGCTGGCTCTGGATAATTACAGTGCACTGTGTTGCATTATTGAAGTGTTGAGTTAATTGCCGATAGTTTCAGAGCAGGAGGTGATTTCACCACCCCTGAAAACTATTTATCGAGTTTTAAAGTTCTTCATTGCAGTCTGCTTTGTGTGCATCGGCTACTGCTACTGCTTTCGCTTCAATCTTTAGACGGTAGATGTGGGTTGACAAAATGAGGTAGACACCGCCTGAGTTTCCCCTACTATGACAGTTCAACGAGTTCCACCGTGTACACCACAGCAGGACGTTGCAAGGACGGTGACTTGCGCTGCATCTACCTAACTCTGTTTCACTCCACCTGGGCCTAGTGTCAAGAAAGAGAATGGAAGAGGGCGCAAGCCCACGCACTGTGAGCCACCACAATCAGAAAACCACGGCATAGTTGGGCGTGGCTCGGATCCAAGTTGAGTGGTGGTAGTGCCATTAGGGCTACATCAAGGAGCCATTGCAGCCTGGCTTCCAATCCGCCAGTCAGCCACTGTTCGCAAACACCGGGCTAATCGCGCGGTTCGAGTTATGCCATCAGTTGGCAACCTACTATATAAATAAAAGCACACCCGGGTTACCTCTGTGTACCGCCCTAGACAAGCAATAGCTCTGACGAGCACTGAAAACCTCTTGGTATTTTTTGAAGTACTGCGGATTAGATTTGCTCAGTGATCTATTCTGATCGCTGGATGGGGAAAGCGCCCGATATCATGTCAGAGTCAGAAAGACCAAAAGCGAGATCAGGCTCATGTGGCTGTCGCAGCGTGCGTCCGCGCCTAGGTTAGCCACCGTGTCTTACAGGTGTGGCATTCATCATGGCTGTATGTCCCCAATAACGCCTGTCATGCACTGATCTGTCAAGGTGGTCAACCTTAGGAGATAGGACGGGGCACATGCACAAGAAACTGTCCTAGGTTGAAGTTTGGCACCCAATCATGCGTTCGATCGCTTTTCACGCGCAGGTTGCGTGATGCCTAATGCATCGCACTGTGCGCACCTGTGAATGTATTCAAATTATCACTCGTGTCCTTATAGGCTCCTTTAAGCAAACATCTTCCATCTTGGTCTTAATTTTTTCAGGTACCATCGAAGGCGCAAACAACAGTGATGCACCCCTTACTTCCACTTACATCGCCAATATCGTCCAATCCCAAGGCTTACCCAACTATCCGCCCGGCGGATTTGTAACAAAGTAGGTTACTCTCAAACTGGTCGTCAATGTGACTCTTATTCTTTTTTCTTTCTTTTAGACGAGCCTTTGTAGAGAGCATCTGTTCGCGGCACACACAAGTTTCCGAATGGTATGTTCAAATGTCCGTTTGATTAATACATTCTCGCTCTCTGCCTCCGTCTGTTCTCTATGTCACAAGAACTAGGCTTCAATGGCGGGTTGCGATTTGTGAGCTCACAGGAGTCAGGCCCCCAAAGAGGTGAAATTAAAGATGGGACATGACAGTTAAACTTTTAGTTCACGGGCACGAGCTTATCATTTCCTTCAAGTCACGACTGCTTGCGCATCGCGTTAGTTCAATTGACAAATCAGAGATTCTTGTGGCGGTACGACAAATTGCCGCATTAGGTTTTCCCGTATCTTTAAGAATACGCCTGAACCACTTTACCGATGACCTGTAGCCTAATTGGGTTACCTTATTTATGATTCACCTCTTGTTTTCATCCAACCTGCAGGCACAATCAGCTTCATTTGGGTCTGTAAGCAATTTGCATTTCGGTTGTTCTAGCATGTTTGGCCGGCAATTAAGAATAGCAAAGCAGTCTTTTAGGCTATTGCAAAGTTGCCTAAGTTTATTTTGGCCTCGAATGACGGTAGTTCTAGTGCTTTGTCTTGGGGGTGGGGATTAATTGGATACTAGACCATTTTTGATTTGGCGCTTTGTTCAGTTTCTATGCATGCACGTTGGAAATCCTAAATCTGTATTGCCAGATGTTTATTCTCTGGTCAGACGCGTAGACTCGCCTTGCGTGTCAGGTAAAAGCGAATGCCAATTAATTTGCGCAGTTGGCGGATTTTGCTGAGAATTGGAGACATCGAAGATTTGCGCCCACCCAGCAGCAAAACGCACTCTAGCTACTATTTTATGGTCTCCTACAAAGTGTTCTATCAAGCGTGCTGTAACGGTACTACCGTTTTTTCGTTTGAATGGAATGATGTAATCAGAACGATGAATCATTATTGAAGAACCTATCTTATCAGGTTTCGGAAATAGATTTAACATAGTAATATTGCTGACAAAGACAAGGATGATTATTTTTAGCTTATTAGCCGCAATCAACCAATCATGCCTAACCCACGTCCTATTGGTTAGAAATTCGAATCATTGAGTCACGGGCTCGTAATGTCGGTGAGCGTACCCTATACTATTTTTAATATGCCCAGTCGCAAACGACAGGATATGGAGCCCGTGGATCAATGCTTAAGGCGTTGGACTTCTAAGCAAAAGGTTGCGAGGTGTTACAAGACCTGAAGTTGAGTATGGCTGATGACACTAGTAAGCCAGAAGTGATCATTTCAGTCTCCCCTATCTTCGTCGGTAATGTTTTTCTGTCCATAATAATAGTCGATGCGCGGCTGCTAGCGGGGCTCGAGAATGAAACTAAGGGCACGACCAGACAAGTATATCCCCTACCGCGATCAGTGAGCACCCCATTGTTAACAGATTTAGCATGTCTACTTTCAAATTTTACAAAAGCTGAACATCTGTCAGTATAAATTTGGTTTAATCGATAAAAAAGAACAATACTAATTTCCAACTAAGCCGTCTTTATCAACTGACCACCAGCTAACTCCGGATCAAGACAACGTAAACGATATACCCAGATTCACTCCCATCGCTTCAATCCTTGTTTACCTACTAGGCAACGAATGTTTGTACGTTAGAACACAGTCGATAAGTAGACGTGGCGCAGTTTAAAGGATGGAAAGGGTGGTAACGCGTTGGCAGTGAAAATAAATATATACCCTCATCGTCATCATTCACATGGGCTGGGTTTTTTAGCACTAAATTATACTGCATTGCGCGCCCAACTGTCGACGTCTACCTACACGCTAGCCTAACCCTATCCACTGTGTTCTTTAGGGTTAGCATTCGTTGTCGGGTTAGTGGTTCCGCACAGGCCTTCGTTGTCATGTGCCAGTCGTTAGGTAGAGAGCCTTAGTGGACAGGCAGTCGGAAGGAAACAGATAACTCCCGAACGAGGCTAAACAACCGCAGTTTTACTTGCTTTTCTGTCATTTGTCACTGCAAGGAGGGTTGAAATCAGCACGAATCTTCCCAACAGCAGCCAGTGCCTTGTAATTCAGATCTCCTTCGCCGTCTGCGGTACTGGACCTGAAGTGAGCTTTTGCGTTCGCTTATTCCTCTTCAGCGAGCACTAGCGACCCATCGAAAAGTATGGAGCATGGGCGCAAACTATTGGAATCCCACTTACCGATAATTACTGCTTCAGCTAGTGAATGAACGGTGTTTACGTGACTGAATGTAGATCCCTCTAATTCTGTCGACACACCTCTGGTAGTTCACTCTCGTGAAGCTGCGAACTGCTCAGGCATTCGACGCCTGCAAGCTCATTTCGCCTCTCTTGTCAACAAATATGGGCAGCCATCCACGCCTACAGCCTCCCCTGAATTCGTTCGTTGATTGGTCAATCAGTATCATGACTGTCATACGTCCTTGTCCCGGCTTGGGCCGCTTTGGTCCGTTAGAAGCCGCGAAAACCCAAAGATACCAAACTACGTATGCACTATAACTAATGCAGCATATATGGTTTCGAATAAAAACCGACTTGTATGATTTGTTTGTAATATTAATCAGGAGTAATAATACCCCACTGTATATATGCAATAGCATGCCAACGTTCGGTTGAGAACATTTCCAGTCACCTTTGCAATTCATACTCATACAATGTGCATTTTCTCCATCGGTTTACTATGCCGGTGAAGAGTAAATCATGCCTGAGCGGACCGAAAATTGCGAAGGAAACAACAGTCATACTAATTTCTCGAGCTCTTGTTTAGCACTGTTGCTATGCAAACGGGTTAAAATAGATATAACACGGTAGGTGATAAACATCATGGGGCTGTGGCTGATAAGATATACGGGAGGCTAGTCAGGTCTATGAAGAAGTCTAGCAATTTGAGGTTAAGAGGGAAGAACCCCCCTGTAAAGCAGGCTGGAACAAGTGAGAGGTGGGAAGTAATCAAAAGAATTAAATGCTAGATGGACACACGAGAGAGCATCAACAGGGTTTAAGAGATTATGGGGTGGAGGAGGAGATGAAGAGGAGCCATTTATCGAGCGCAATTCTAGCCACATGACAAAATCGCTTACATGGCACTGGCCTTAATAATGTGTAGAGTATGGGCCATCTTTGCATTATAAAGGACCTTCTATGCCAAGTGGATACACAATAGTGACCAGTAGGAGTGAACTTTCAGCCGCCTTGTTTTTTATGTTCTTAAGAGTCATCTTGGCACCTGATTGCCCAGGGCGCTTGTGCCCGCGATTACACGCGGACTCGTAAACACAACGCTTCAATAACTAATGGTTCTTGTCGATTCTTCGTGCCAAGCCATCTTCATCTCAGTTAGGTGTGGCTCACATACAAGAGCTCCTCTTAGTGGCCCACGCTGCATAGCTGTTCGATCGTACAACCAAATCCTAATTTGGTCTTATCAGGAACCTTACCCACCCTAAACGGAAAATAAATCATCAGTGTTAGGAAACGACAGCTTAGTTTGTCTGGCTGTTCCGTAAATTTCTGCTTACACACTGTGTGAGCCCCTTACAAACTGCATCTCCTTACCAGCCTTATTAGTAAAACGCGTTCTCTTATGGTGTTGTTAAAGGGACAAAAATTACGTTCTTGTAAGTTGTATGAAGTCTCATAAAATTCACGTACTGTCCTTTCTGATTTGACTTCCGATAGCTTGATCTCTTAGTGGAGCCATCTACCCACCGCGGCACAAAGCTGATCCATGGCTTCTTTCCTGTTTGTTGACGAATATTTTTTCATTGTATCTAATTTCGTTTTTCGGAGCCTAATAATCCGTAAAAAACTCACTTCCTGGTTAGTTAATATGGCTATTTTTCTAAAATTTTCTAATGTTTATGTCTGGCCCATGATTCGCGTTCCGTATGTTCAGGAAGGATGACCATTAACTGAACACAGGATTTTCCTCAACACTTGAGCCCATTGATTTAGAACATAAGACGTATGTTCTTATATCAGTATGTCTTCCATCATTTCTTAAGACATTCCTCGTTAGTATCTAGTATGAAAGTTGTCATATGACGTAAGTGCACCCGTGCTCTCCTTTCAGGCTGTGCATGGACCGGTTTAAGGTGTACGTATGCGCTTCATAGTGTAGAGTTTGTCCAGTAGAGCTGACTGAGTGGGTACCATCTGCGGAGGCAGCGACTAAAGATCTCAATAGATTCAAAATACTTGGTCTGTTTAGTGCTGTCTTATTAGCTTAGTGGATCGTTAGCTTAACCGCCTGCGACCGTAGTGCATGATTAAAAGGGACTGGTGAGAGAACTTTTGTGCTCGTGATTTATGAGTATATCTCCAGTAGGTTCGCAAACTTCAGTAATCTATAGTTGAGTGGACTATTTCGAACGTTGCAATAAAACTCAATAAGCATTCACTTGTCGTCCATTGCAGCCAGAGCAGTGGTGTGTTATTCATCGTTAAAATGAACGTTTTACCCACCCGGAGTGGAAACTGTACTGATTTTTTCTTTGTGTGTCGACGGTCATAGAAACCCGTCGTAACTGATATCACTGGCAGTCGTTTGGCGTCCTATAGTGCTCTTGTTCGCTTTGCAACCACCGAAACAAATTAGCTTCCTTTTTTGACAACGTCACAGATGACAGCCTTTTAGTGTCATACGACCATAGTTCCTTCTGCCTAGAGGTGTGAGAGCAAAAATCACTGATCTCAACTCAATGCTTCAATAACTACCAGTTCCTGTAGATTCTTTGTGCCAAGCCATCTTGATACCAGTTTTTCAGAGTTGGTGAATAGCAAGTCCTGAAAAATAATAGGATTAACATGATATCAGTCTCCTTGTGCTCGCCTATTTCAGTATCCTCATAGTGTCTCTATCGCAGAACCCACCAGGGGCATCTGATTTACAGGTAATCTCCAGGAGGTCCTGTTATTAGTTTAGTCCATACGCAAAAGATACAGAAAGTAGTTTTGGCCGATTTCTGATGCCTCCTTTTTCTAAACGGAGACTCATTAAGATTGGGTACTGACCAACAATCTTCATTCATCGTATAACACTAGAGATGTATGCCTGC